AAATACGTATATTCCCCTCCACTTACTGCCTTCTTCCACCCTTTGGGAATTCTCAAGACGCTACAACCTATATTTTGTTAAAAAATGAAGAGGTACTATGGCCTGACCAGGAGGTCACCTTACCAAAACGACCACGAATTATGCTGAAAGTAACATCGCAATGTGTCACACGATTTACCTTCGAGTCGTGTCAGAAAGTCATCTCTTCCCTTTCTGTCAAAAAATAGGCTGCAATTCAAGTCTTGTGTTTCCTGCTGCCAATTTTAAGTCAGCGGAGAACAAGCCTTACTTGTCACAGTTCAGTATTGGTTTTCAGGTTGCGACAAACCTGGCTGTGCAATTAAAAGGTTTATGCTCATGATTATGATACTTTGATCTCTCTCCATGGCAGAGGGACTGCAAACGACGTCTGCTAGTGGTATTTACCTTATTCGTGCGTCCCCTAGGCAAAGTTTTAAAAGTGGAGCAATATTCGCCTTAAATCATCTGCAAAAGTTTAGTTTCGGAGCTCTATTACCACATATGAGCATAAGTGCGGATTATATGAAATTTAATCAAACGTTCGCACACTAACATCTGTTTGACCACACTGATCCTATCACGCATATGCTCTCGACCAGGGTCAAACGTCTGGTTCCATTCTAATTCCTGTTTCAGGTTTAAACGTAATTAAGGATGCAAATGAAGATGCTGAGAGAGTCGTGTACATTCTCTTGGTCTTGTTGGTGTTGATAAATGCCCCAGATGGCAAGTTGGTGTTAACTTGCAGATTCGTTTTAACTATAACGGCTAACGTAGTACTTATTACTGTGAGACACTTTTGTATCAATCTTGCTGTAGCGTCCCGAGGCTCCAAATGGGGTAGTAGAAGGCATAAGTGAGGTTAAATACATGTATTCCAAAAACAATAGGAGAAATGGGGGCTTGAGCGTGGCCCGAAGGCCAGCCCACGTGTACTGGGCTTAGACAAGTTCTAAAGTGACCGCCAAACGTCAGATAGTCACATAAACAAAGCATTACACTTGCTTCTCTACAAGTAAACGAGCATTTCGGTATCACCAAAGCCTTGTCTCTCCCTCTTTTCCTTCAGCACAGGTATTCCAACTCATTTACCGCCTTCCCTCATATAATGAGAAGTCCTTATTTGGCTCTCCAAGACTTCCCACCAGGTTGAAGAAGGCAGTACGTTGGGCAGAATAAGGCCTTGATACGTTCTAAAGGCCACTCTACGCGTACAATCGCAAGACAAACGCTAAAGAAATTGCCAAATATCAGGTGATTACATAAGCAAAGTATTCCACCCGGAACTCTACAGACAGCGTGTGAGATTTGCGGCAGGTAAATTTAGCAATGTCACTTACATGCTAATAGTAGCTTTGCGACTCAGTTTTTTATTCAGCCGACTATATGAGCAACAGCCGCTTTCGCAAGAGCGTCAAGTTATATGACATCTATCACCAAGGTAAGGCGTTGGGCTCTTTTGCAACGGCCCAAGGCTTCCTGTCTAAATATAGAGGACCCGGTGTGTAAATGAGTTGTCGAAGCTACCATCAATCGCTAATTGTATTCGAATTATCATACCGTCTCACTTTACAAGAAGACGAAGAAATTACAAACGCGCATTTTGACCACTAAATGCATATTCTGGTATGCATTGACAGCAAGTCGTAGGAAACTTATTCATTATGCTTGTATTCTTAAGAACGACACTGAGCGCATTGTGTTTCCGGTGTAAATATATCTTTTGCTTATTAACTCTTAATTGGCTTAACTTGTTTTGTTTAACTATTTAACTTTTAATTATTAGATCATACATAATTGTTATATCTACATTTAATCATTTTGATATTAGCAAACTTTAGCACTGTTGACACAGTTTTGTTTATACTCGCAAAAGTTCTGTTTAACCCTTTGGTTATGACCTAAGCGTCGTTTTGAGACGGGTATGAATACTTAGGGGTCACGCGGATGAGGCATTTTGTAACGAACGTAGAGTATGACCTCATATATGTAAATAAATCACGCCTTTCTCTTGTTCACCAATATGATCCATAAACTTAGATTGGTTGAGTTCGCAAATAGGCAAAATTTGCCGAGCCATTGCTTTTGATTTATTTTTGTTGAATAACCCTTTATGTTTATCTTTTCATACTTTTCTCGTTCACTGAAAAGTCTACTATTGCAGGTATCATCAGTTTGGTTACTATTTAATGTTTTGCTATAAATCCAATTCCGTTCTATTTTTAAACACCCTTTTCTAGATGAGCAATCTCGGATCATGAAAAAGTTTATCAACAGCCAATCTAGCGATACAGACTCTGGGCGATTTTCCGGAGGCGCAACCTCCTCTGACTCTTCGTTCCGCATTCAAGATGTCAACAGTACCCTGCTTATCAAGATATCAATAACTCCTTTATCAAAACAAGTTTATGCTTCAGTGTCATCGAAAGCCTTAGTAAATCATGTCAAACAGAAACTGCTTCAAGAGTTTGGATCTCAGATTACTGACAGCATAAATTGTGGTCTTTTTGTACCTCCGTCCAATGGGAGGAACGGGAAGTTCCTCGAAGAAGACCGTCCGATTTCTGCCTATGTTACCGACAATTTGAGCTCCAACCTTGAAGTATTTTGCACTTTGCTTTGTGTTCATTTTGATTCTAGTTTACTCGAAAAAGGCGACTTTGTTCTCCATCACAACTAATCTCACCATTAGAAGATAAGTCAAAAAATATCCCTCAATCTTTTCTCCGTGCTGTTTCGCGAGGCGATATCAAAAAAGTCGAAAAGTATCTTTCAAAAGGATTTGATCCCAATTTCATTTGTCCAAGGACAGATGGTGAGAACAATTTTATGCATTTTAATATTCCTGTAGAATCTCCCTTATCTGTGGCCGTCTCAAGGCCAAGACCATTAGAGATGATAAAGGCATTAATCTCGGGTGGAGCACACAAAGATTTCCGAACTAGAAATGGATTAACTCCACTGCATAAAGCTGCCTTCATAGGCAATTTCGATGCGGTCAAAGCTCTACTTGATTTTGGACAATCTCCCAATACTTTGGATGCCAATGGCTTGACTCCACTCTATCATAACATCCTCGGTGATGTTGATACAAGAATTTGCCACAGACTGCTGTACGAGTATGCTCAGATAGAAATATACGACTCGGATGGAAAGCAGGAGATTCACCAGGTAGGTTTCCTTGGGGAGTTTACGATAACCTCCATGGGGTGTGCTGTTAGAAAATCACATTTCTCATTTCCGCAGGCTGCTTTACTGGGTCGCACGGATCAAATCAACCTGTTAATAATGTACGGTGCAGACGTAAATGCTAGATCCCTTCCACGCCCACCTCTTGATCCCCCAGGTCTTCCAGCACTTCCCACTCGCTCAACAAACAAGCCAAGTCAACAGGGAGGTCAATCAAATTGGGGACAGCTGCAGTTGCATCGGATAACTGGATGCGGACGAGAGACACCTTTGCACTATGCAGCCATAGCAGGACAGTGTGCAACGGCCAGACGTCTCCTTTACTGGGGTGCTGATCCAACTCTCACTAACGATGATGGGCGCACACCCGTCCAGGAAGCACGGCTTCATGGTAATCTCGAGGTCGTTGAAATTATACGCAACTTTCGAGGAGGTGCTGGTGCCAGTGTGAGGGGAATTGGTGGCTCAGAGGGCAGTATTTGTAAGTCTCGATATGGGGGAAAGGTTGAGCGATAAATTGTCTGATTTTCATCGCATTATGGTATTTTTACAACAAGAATGTTACAGAACAACCAAAATTTATTGCTGTGCATTGGAGGACTGACCCAATCACCATCCAAAACAGAAAATCCTGTGATTTCAAATTGCATTAACTAGTTAAAGCATGCACAGACTTCATAATTATTTCCCCTACAACTGTGTGGTTCTGCATAGAATTTCCTTTTGCTCACTTATAGCGCAGTTTTTACAATCCTTAATTTAAGCACTGAACAGTTCGTGTGGCGTTAATGTCTTGCCACGGACTGATTGAAAACAACTTTCTAAAATTTTGAAATGACACTAACTTAAGCTCTAGGTAGCTCGTAAAACTGTGCAACTGTTTTCGTCTTGAATAAATAACGTGCTTTGATGAAACAGTCTCCTGTTAGCCTAGCAAAACTGTCTTCATAAATGTCTGGAAAAAAATATGGGAGTTCGGAAGGGTGAAAACGTTGGTGGCTGGTTAATTTGGCAGAAATGGAAGTATTTGTTTGTATGAGCAAGTAATGAGTTAAGCGTTAGGCTTTTTACACCAAGTTATTTACAAGGCTGCCTTCATTCCAAAGGGAATCGCTCTACAGGATACCGTATCACATACATTCACTAACTTAATTAGAATTCCAAGCACTAAATTTCCATACAGTTCTCCCATCCAAGAGACTAGACCATTATTTGTGCCGCACCGCTTAGCTGCTAAGTGAAAGGTGAATAGCACATCTCCAGGTACGCTCACACGAACATTACTTCTCGAACGCAAACTTTGCGTAACATCAACGCAAAATAGGTTAGAACAGGTTTCAAGTCACCACATGTTTAAAAAGTGTGAATGCTGTCTCTCTTGCACAGGTGGACCTTTCCTTCCAGCTCCAACCTACAACCAAAAACGCAAGCCAATGACGGCACCTCTGCAAGCATCTCCATTGGACCACTATGTGACCTTGACAATGTTGGGACCTGAACGCAAAGGTCCCTCAAAGAGCGTCACCATACCCTTCCCCGTTAGCCCATCCCGAAAACAGGCCTCTTTAGTAGTTACCGATGGCCATCCCCCACACCAAAATCATCCACCCTCACCATCACCATCCCCTTCACCCCTGTGCCGTCTTAGAGATCGAGCGTGTTCTGAAGGCGATCTCATGCGCTTTCTGGAGGAGGAAGAGAAGAATAGTAATGAGAAGAGGGATACGGAGGATCAAGCAAGCGCTCGCGTTGTCCAGTCATCTCGAGAAAGGCCCAACTATCGTCATATTCGACGTCAGAAGATCGTGCGTGGATTAACCGATGTTTTAAACGCAACTGGTAGGCATGACTCTTTTCTCCCACTAAAATTTATAATTAATATGCAGTTACTATTTTCCACAAGTGACTAAGTCTGTAACCATCATTGTCACTGCCTGTCCCGTCGCCAAATTTTCTACCTACATAATTTTTGTTTAGTGCTTTATTAGCATTATTTACCAATTTGCGAGTTTCATTTCCTCAAAAAAGGCGTCACTATACGTAATTAATGGAAGTTGTAGAAACCGTGGGATGTTTCACGTGATTGCTGATTGCAGTTGGATAATTTCACTTTTGAAACACCATTAAACATATACAAGGCTTTAAGCAATCTGCTCGCTAGTATTTTTTTACTTTACTTTTAGCAATGATGTGAATAATGGATGGGATCAATTAGCAGAAATTTACTTTGGCTTTAATGTGCAGGCTACCTCACGTCCTCTGATAGTAGTCTGGTCCTCCCCTTTGGATCCATTTCTACTTAAGTGCGTAGAATTAGGTGTGCTGGGTCATGCTAATGGCACTTAGTCTGGCCTGCGCAGACGAGGGTAGTGCAAGAGAAAGTCCACTTTTTCCAGCTCATTAACAACAAACGCTTTCACATTAATAGTGGGATAAAAATGTGATTTATTGCCTTTGGAGAACTTTTGATCCTTTTCCGCAGTTTTAACGCTACAATGTAACCCCCAAATCCCAGATCTGGAACGATCAGAACAGGAAGTTTGATTTGGATAACTTTAATTCCAAGACATGGTTCTCTTCGGTATTTACTGCCCTGTTGAATCCTCAAACGCAATTTTCTAGTTCACTTTAAAGTGGTAGATTTTCGATAAGCTAGTGATGTTAGAGTTCGTTATGGAGTGTGGTGGAAAGGGGTTCAGTAAAATCCCTGTGTTGCTGAAGCTGTACTTGGAGGCATTTTTACGCAACAGTACAAGAAGACTTTAACTATTAACAGTATGATTAATACAGATAAGGCGAGAGCACAGATGTCCTACAGCCTTCAGCATAGACCCATTGAACACTAAGGAAAGGTGGTATGGTTAAATCCACGAATTAGTGTAGAGAACATCTTCCTCCCATCTCAGAGGTAATGCTGTTTTAAGTTAACACTATTTATTTTGTACATTTGCTTTTTCAAGTCCAAGTCTTTATCACTTCACAAAATGCATTTCATGTGTAGACTCCGAACTCAGGTAAAGGAGTGGAGATGTTGCCTACTCACGACGATAGTAGCAAACGTGTTGAAGCAGCTTATCTGATAATAGATATTCTTGACAAGATAATTCTGCACCTTTAGCTGTGTTTACAAAAGTTCAAAGTGGACTATGAGGAAAGGCCTTCGTTAAGTGAATCACCCACTGTCACCTCTTCCCTTTCCCCCTGCCCCCCTCTACAACCCACTCAATGGTCAAAAAATGCACTCTTTGTGGAAGCTGTCTTCTGTTTGCTACTGCTAGTGACCAACGCATATTGGTTTATTTTGTAGATGTTTGTATACAGGTAAACAAGGGGCTGCTGTTGTGTGCCCCAGCTTTTATAAGTTGCTTTTAAAGCCAGCGAAAATAAATAGCCGCGTTTTGTAATAGCGATGGCGGTGTTCTTTCCAGATGAAAGTAGAAAAACATCACTAACCATTGTTAATTAACTTTCATCATGGTTCCACTTTGAAGAGGTAAGAAACAGACCGAGTGAGACCAACTGTCTTATCACCGTTGAAACCGCATTGTCTCTCCTAATAGGCGATACGAGAACCTTTTAATGTAGTGCTTTTTAGTAGTGATGTGAAGCATCAGAGTTTACCAACCTGCAACTGCTTTTGAGGTTCTGGTGGCAAATAAGCTACGATAAATTTTGGCTTCGTCCTGAGAATTGACAGGGATACCCGACAATCTCGTTCAAACATGTCTGCTCCAGGGCCCTCTCCTCAGTTATCAAGCCTTGCTTCCTTTTCGCCTCGGTTTCATGTCGCCACGTCACGACCTGAGTTGTCTCCATCCTCGACAATTTAGTCATACACAGAATAAAAGAGGGTCACCAGACAGGCTTACCTCCAACCTCTGATGAAATCGGCATGAAATTCAGTCATGTGTCCAGTAAACTTCCAAATATACTCACTTTCGCCAATAAGTACTGTTGACTTCACCTGTTGCCTATTAACTTGGCAATTACAGAGAAAGCAAAATTCTGCAGAAGAAATTTTCATAGGCACTATAGTATCTAGTCTGATGTTCAAGAAATGTCTCAGCTGGATGGTGGAAGATCCAATGAACGCAATTTGCACTCGGAAAGGTAAGTTTACGTCTAGCATTTTCGCGCCCTCCATCTTACTTTAACCGCTTTACTGAATGTTCAGGAGTTACGAAAATGCTTTCCTCGTCGGACATTCATCGTTGTATTTGGTGAGAAGGAGTTAATCTCTCCGTTCTGTTACCTTTGTCGCTTTACCATTTCGGTATAACCCTTACGCCTGGTCAATTTAAGAGGCATCGGCTTATCTTTTTTCCAACTACAACCCTATTTCGTTATTTGTATACTCATGCTCCGTCTCAGATCCCCCAAGCACTCCGAGTAACTTGGAAGTCTACCGCCAAATCAGAACTGCTACACTGCTGACCATGGAAAAGTTATTAAATTTCGAATGGAATATATCCATTTGGTGGTCCGGATGGATCATTAAAAAAGCCACCCATCTAATTTACTACTGGAGGAAGTGGTGCACCTCTCGCCCACCAAAATGCGATCTAGAAAATAAAATCCATAAGTTCAAAGTTAGCGCTCAATGTTCCGCATTTGGATGGCCAAGTGGTAAACACAATGAGTAAATCAGAAATGGGTTTCCCTAGCTAAATCTTCCCACAGTGTCATAAAAAAGACATAATAGGTTAAGCAGCACAAAAATTTGCAAAATTATTGCCGCAACTTGCCTGACTACCGAACAACACCTATGAATGCAAAAATGCTCTGCGGTGATGGAAAGAGGGGAAGGAAGTTCAAGCCCATGCGCTTCTCTGCGGCTATTTTGTCAGTAGATGTGTCCGAGATACACAGGATTTATTTATTTTATTTGGTGACATCTTTTCCTCCCCTTGCAGCAAACAAAATATCCACCAGTTTTTTTTGAAATTGCTCATCTCGTAAAGTGGTTTTGCCTCCTGCATTGGAAAAGAAGTATTTCACTCTGCGATTTTCGAAGATGTGCTTAGCATAGAGTCGTAGTTAGACTGATTCTGACTTTCCGTAGTTCTGCAGGCAATATGAAGATTGGTCACAAGCTAAGTAGTTTAACTGAAAGTTTGTTGATGAAGTTACTTCACAATAAAATAAATGTAAAGAAGTGTCTATTATGGAATCTGTTAATTGAGAAAGAGAAAAATTCACATCGTCTAAAGTAGCTTTAAACCTACCACTGTAATAGGACTTTGTGAATGGCTGCTTAATCGAGGGGAAACAAATGCTTTCTCCATTTTTATCTAGACCGATCTACAAGCCCGAATCACAACTGTCGACGCCTGAGAAGTTGGAAGTCGTCTCACACTCTCAACGAGGACTCAAATCTGGAAGATGATGAGGTGGCTGACATGATACCCGCTATGGTAAAGGGTCGACCAAAGTCGCGAATGACCAGTCCTCAAATCGGTGATGTGGATACACTGGCCTTAAGTCGATTTAGAACTGCTCCGGCTTCAAATCTTTCACCCGAAAGACCCTGGTCTTCCCAAGACTCCTCCTCCACAGCCGCACATCTTGCCAGAAGAGAGTTAGTCTGCTTATCATGATCTAAATGGCTTATTGCTCCCTTTATTTTGTTGCATAATTACCAACTGGAAACAAGTGAAGGTGGCATTTTTCAACCTTCACCAAACCATTTTAATTTGAGCTTATGAGGTTGGCAACCACCCCAATTAAATCAAACAGAACTCTACAAGTACA